ACTCAAATCAACTAAAAAATAGGTTAAATCCAGTTCGTGAATTTGACTTAGCCCAAGGTCCAAAGAATCCAAGAATAATTAGAGCACGTGGGAAGCAATTATCGGATACTTACTCTCGAAGATCAAGACAACCTCTTATGACACTTACCTTTTATAGCTACTCATATAGTTAGTACATTTGCCCTCACGTCACTGCCTTAACCAAGACTTTGTGTCTATAAATTGTAAACTCTCTTTACATAAGAGGACACCTCTTGATCTATCTCGACATCTCTCTACACACCATACACATAATTTTTCTCTCTCCTACCTGGAGCTAACCATTACTCTCTCTCTCTTGTTCACCTTACTTTATCAATAAAAGCCCTTCAGCCACCGTTGCTGTTTTTCGAAGTGGAGTAGGTCAGACGAACCAAACCACTATATATCTGTGTATTGACCCGATATTTACATTATTGCCATTAATTGTTTTATTAATTATCCATTAATTACACTTTATCGTACACTCGTTGTTAATCTTGTATAAACCTGTTTTGTGCATCATCAGAGTCCAAGAGAAAGGATTTCAAGCCAATTGCATTTCATCGGAGAAAGATAGGGAACACACTTAACATTTACAGATGAGTAACTTGTGAAGGAGAATGACATACATGACATGGTACTCGAGGTCTACGGAGGAGGAGAAGAGAAGCTTTTCAGCGAAAATCTCTTTGGGGGAAGAACCACCCGATGTAGGAGCGCTGGTCCTTGGAAGCAGACAGAAGGACGAGGGTTTCCAACTTATCAGTTATGTTGGAGTAGGGCTTAGACTTGCTTCATCTTTTCACACGGCTGAGTTGGAGATGTTAGCTTGGATTTTGGATAGGGGAGAAAGAGAGATAAAGTTGAGACGCTTGTTCTAAGTTCAGCTCAGAGTGGAAGAGGTTTAATTAAGGCTGATGATTAAAACAACATACATATAGATACTTTATTAATAATTTTAAAAAAATATATATATATATATATATATATATATATATATATATATATATATATATTAAACGACATCTGATTGCTAGTAATTTTATCAAATAACACCATCCAACAGCTAATAGCTGAGATTTACTTGTCACATCAACAAATTTCCCCACCTTACACAAAATTGTTGTCTTTTATTTCCCCTGTAAATCTCCTCTCTCTACCCCTTCAATACTGTTTTAGGTTTTTAATTTTATTATTATTTCTCTATATATCTTTAATGCCCAACTTGTTTATGAGCTTTCTCTGTTGATGGTATTAGGTTTTCTCTAATCTTGATTCAAATTTTTACTCAACACAATATTTAGGTAAAATTGCTAATTTAAACTAAAACACACAACTCAAAATTAAAAAAGATAAATGACGGAAATTTGAGTCTCCTTTAATTTGGTATAAGTTTGAATAAAAGATTCGAACTTATTTTTACTCGAGTTTAATATTGAGTCAATGTTTGAATCCGATCAAAGATTTGTCATTTTCGGGCCTATACATAATTTAGTCCCCCTAGGATCTAGATCCTCTCCATTATTTTTTTCACACAATTTCTCTCAATGATAAATCATCTATGGTGTATGAGTGAAGGGGGGGGGGGGGTCTACATTCAGACTCGATAATTAGTTAATTAATTAGTCCAACAAAAAATAAACAATTAAAGAAGAGAATACAAGATTAAATTGAAATCTATAGGTATCAAGCTAGAATGCCCACAAAGTGCTACTAATCTCAGACTAATAAACCCGTCGTTCCATATTTATGCTCAAAATACTTGTAATTACTTGAAAATCATATCCATCAGATCAATTATGGTGTCTTTTGTGATAATGAAGAGTGCCATTGGATGAATTGGTGGAGTGGCTACTACAAATTTGGGGTTCACATGGTCTCTCATAAAGGTTAGGAGGAATGACACTTAGTACCCTAAGTGATCTTCAAATTATTAATTTGCATCTTGAAAGATTAAAATTTGCAGATTGCACACTTAATCAAATAAAAATATAGTAATGTTGTCCAAAATCATATGTATGTTGCTTTTTTGGCAACTTTTTTTTGAAAACTTCAATTGATTTGCTTCAGAATGGAATTTCAATTGCCCATCAATGGATCATGTATCATATGGTGTTGAAGTTAAGATGAGCACCCCCCCCCCAAAAAAAAAAAAAAAAAAAACAAAAGAAGCTTTTGTTTCACCCATTAAGCCTTTTAATGATGTTCGAATTAATTAAATGCTCATAATTTCATGACATCATATGGTGCTAAAGTTAAAAAAAAACCATTTTCGGATATCATGAATCACAAAAAAATAGGAAAATGAATTGTGAAAACTCAAATATTAAAAGTAAATTTTCCCTAATGCAACTTTCTATTGAGCTTCACTTCATACAAGATAAGGATAATCTTGGCATAATTATATTGGTGAGGGAACAAGAAGATATTCGCAACACCAAGTTCTATTCAGTGTTTAACACATGAATTCTTTCATAATATTCCAGCAATAAAAAAGAAAATGTTAGAGGGGTACTCAAGAAAAAGGGCAAAAAACTGGGACTCAATTGATACTTTCAACCTTTTTTCTGTTTGAATTTTATGAAATATTAGGGCTAATATGTATCTAAATTTTATAAAATACTCCAAGATTAGAATGGATCATGTCCAAAGGATGAAGCCCAACAGTGCCCGAAGGATAGAAACCCAAACCAGCCCAATCCAACTCAGCAAGAGGTAAGCTCGGGATCAAGGAGCTCAGCTTCCTTGTTGATTCTGAATCACTCCTATCGTGCCACGTGTCCAGAGGGCAGAGGAACCACTTCTAACACCCATAACAAACACACACTCTCTGTCACAGAGAATATTGGTGCATGTAACTGCTCAAGGGTTGTGGATGCAGTGACACCATATGACAAAAGTCACTACAGGACAAAAGTAGAAGGACCCACAGAATCAACAAAAAAAGAGGAAAGAGCCGCAAGAAACCCTAGAAGTACTACTTGTATAAATAGGATACTATTATACCACAGAACATACACGATCATTATCTTCCTCATTGCCTACACGGTTAACCTCATAGATAAGCTTGTACTCTCTAAGCATTTCTTGTAAAAAGCTCTAAGCCAAAAGAACCAATGTAATAACCCTCTTCAAGAAATATACATTTCCAAGGAGCAAGAGACTTTCTTATAGTGGACGTAGTCTTAGTCTCTCAGCTAAGGTAAACCACTTTCATATTGTCTTTGCCTTTTTCTCATAGTTTTATCCATTCCAATCCATATATTCACTTTACCCTCTCTCTGAGCCATCGGATTGTGGTTCTGGACTTGAGCTAACATTTCCGAGCACCATCAAATATAAATGTTTTAAACTCTCAAGCGGTGACCCAACATTTAATGAATTTCTTCAGGTGCAGTTGGGCACTAAAGTGAAATGAGTCCACTGGCAGTTAGGCACCAAAGTGTTGCCAAAGGCACCCACACTAACTTCTTTATAACCATTAGCCGTTTGATAATAGCCTATATAAGGCTACCACCTCCACTCACAAAATACACTCTGACTTGCACACTTAACCGGCGATGGACTGAATTTTGATCTGAATACGAACCTGATTTGCCGAATATGAATTATTAATTTTTACTGATTATCCGAATCCGTCATATTATATTTAATGAATTCGGATATAAATTTATCAATTTTGATCCAAATTATATATATACCTTTTATTTTTATATTTTATATCCCGTGAGTTTATATATATCGATTTTTTTCATCTGCAACATTTTTTTCCTTCTATCTTTTTCTTCACTCTTTATAACTAAAATTGAAGTTGACATATTCAATTTATGTTGCTCGTTAAGGTTTCAAATGAGTAAGCATTATAATTTTTTGGTTGTACAGAGTTGAATTTGTGAGATATTTGTAGGTTAATTTTACTTTGTATATAAACAGATTAGATCAAATTTTTGGACTGGATATCTGAAAGTTAATGAATTCGAATATGAATTATAAATCTCAAATCCGATGGATAATCGGGTCGGGTCAGATCACATAAATTATAATCGGATTCGGATATGACAAAATCCGATCCATATCCAATCCATTGACAAGCCTACACTTATCTCATCGGTTATATCTCTTTCTCTTTTGCCAATTTGTTATTATTATATATTATGTATTTTTTTATATTCTCGATATTTTAGGCAACAAGATCAAGACTTGATAATTTATCTCTATCGTATGTGCCCGATGTGAAGAGTGGCTGCTAGCTTGGGATTGTATCTTAAAGATTTCATTGCCAATAATATGTGCACGTAGGGAGGCCACCAGAGCTTTAGGACAACGTTTTATACACCTCTCCAAATCGAAGGTGATCACTTTATTTGCTTTTATCTCAATTCTTTTTCAATTATATATTTATTTGTGAGCTATATAATTTTGCGGTAAATATTTTACTAGTATTGATATAATTTAAATCTATATTTGTCCAACAAAATTAAACGGTGGCCACCATTTTCTCGAATTATAATTTACGTCAAACTAATTTTTGTACTAAGAGACCCATAAATCTGAAACAAAATAAAGTATTTAGAAGCATACAAGTCCCAAGCTAAACAACTCCCAAAAAAAATATGAAATTTTTGAAGTTATAAAATCAGCACCAGAAAAAAAAGAGTGTAGAAATTAAAATTATTACAACACAAGATGAATGGTACTGATAGAGTGCAATTCGACACTGCAAAGCAAAAGTTTAAAAAAATAAAATAAAATAATTTCTACTTCTTTAAAATCACTTCTCTATAAAATATTTCATCACTACCGCCACCACCACCGCCACCATCGCCGCCACCCCCACGCATTTTTTATTTTAATGTTTTTCTGTTTAAGCATTCAAACGATGTTTGTTTAATGAAAACATTTTTTTAAAAACACTTTTAAAAAATACTTGTTTAAGAAGTGCTTTTTGAATTTTATAAGAAATCCTGAACAAAACTTAACTATTGTACGCAGTCATTCAAAGCATACAATATGTCAAAACGAACATCCTCGTCAGGTTCCTGAAAGACAAATGCAGTTCAAACAGGTCAATATAAGAGTAAAAGCGCCACTATTTAAAACTCTAAAAAGAAATAAGTGAAAAAATATATATATTATTTGACATTATTAGGCCCAAAAAATCAAGTAAGTAAGATAGGCACAACTCACCAAATCTGAAGCTTCCTCTAAAGCACCTATGACCATATTAGATAATGTCTCGACATATTGCATATTTTGATCATAGTCCTGTGGGTCGCTGTATTCTACAACTTCTGTAGCTGAATTCAGTATCTTTGGCATGGCTATTGCACAAAGTAAAAAGATAGCATAAGAAAATTGACTAAGATCTACACATACACATGCTAACAGAAAATAATAATTTGAGTAAATTACATTTTATCCCTCTAAACTATTACCCTTATTTTATTTTGTACTCTTAACTATAAAATTTTTCACAATATATCTTAAAGTATCAATTTTATTTCATATCACTCCAATAGATAACAACAAACTTAAAAATCTTTCAAAATAGGGAGGAAAACCCCAAAGAGTATTTCGTCAAGTATCTAGTACCACTTTATTTTACTTTAGTTGCAACTAAAATGCTTACTGGAAAAAAAAAAAAAAAAAGTCGGTCAGAGGAAGAAAATTTGAAGCATAGGACGGGCAAAGTCATAGATATATATATTTTTCTAGAATTTTGACCTGAACATGTGAAATAGGCAATTGCTTATTGGCAGAACAAACTATTCTCATGCGCATTTACTGTAAAAAAATTGATATTCGTTATCAATTGGAGTGATATAAAATAAAATTAACTCTTTAAGGTGTAATATGAGAAATTTTATAATTGAAGATACAAAGTGAAATAAGAGTAATAATTTAAGGAAGTAAAATGTAATTTACCCTAATAATTCCAATTGGTCTAGTACCTGAAGCGGCAGCTATTCTAATTTCTTTAAAATTATAAGGTCGAACTGCTGCGTCTTCAACAAGGGGATGCTTACACCATTTCAAAAATGGAACCAGTGCACCAACAACCTATATGATTTACGAATGTTTAAACAACTACTGCCATAACAAGCGTAACAAGAGATGCTTAAAATTAGACATATCAAAGTTTACCCGACCAATCAGGGGAAAAAGTAACTCCTTCAACTCATCAACACAGAAGCACAACACATGGCAAGCCATAGCCTTTTTCTTGTAGATGTTTGAGCAGCAGCATTAAACACAGGGGACATGAGAATTTCCAGGTAAGGGGAAAAATCCCGCTCTCCGTTTTGCTCTTAGTTCCTCCAAAGTTGGACCCATACGGGATTTATCTATTATGTAGTCAAAATAAGCAGATATATGAAAAGATAACTTCGACAATCTGTTCCTCTAATGCTCTGGCAGTTAATATGCTATACACATTACTCAATTATGATTGAAGAAATCAAAGGCTAACCACCAAGAAAAAATGGTCTCTAGTAGTACCTCTGATAACATCTTAAGCCACCGAAACATCCCCCACTCTGTAAACGAATTCCCATCACGAACTCCTGGACTTCCTAAATTAAAAATGAACGACATATAAGCTCCATCATGCCAGCTAATTAACTAATTAAAGCGGTTCTATGTACGATGCCCACAAGTAATTCAATTGCATGCAATTTACATACAAGCGTGGATAAAAAGCGATAGCACGGTATTTTCAATCTCTCTTGTCACAATTCTATCATCCCCACGTATTCTCACCAACACCGACTCCAAACTTGAAAAGTTACTTATTATTTTGCTAAATTAAGGAAAATGAAAAATTTAAATTTAAAATAGTTTTGTGAGAATAGTTATATAAGCCATATGAAATGATTTAATTTGATGTGATCAATACATTATTATTAAATCATTCAACTTTATACAAATCTATTACTTGATGAGAAAAGGTAGACAACAGTAGTGAGGAGTTTGAATGGGGTTGAAAATTTAATCACAGTAGACTTTTGAGGAAGTTGAAAACTGATAAAGAGAGTGATAGATTGTTATGTGCAAATTAAAATATATATATTTTAAAAAACAAAAATTCTGAAAATTAGTATCTAAGTTTTAAAACTCATACAAGTACATTTAAATACAAAAAATAGGAAAAAAAAAAGATGCCAATTTTAGATTGAGATAATGAGTGTAAGATTTAGCCATACAGGGTCCAAAAAACTTATATTTGTTTGTTGTTTTTTGTAACATACATGCATATGAATTATTTGACAATGGGCTTGTTGGGATATTGTACTTGCAATGTTAAATGATGATATACCTTTGATACTATAAGACAACTCCTTATACTCCCATCCAAGTGTTCCATTCGATTGTCCCGAGTGTAATATTCACTGACAACTAGAATTGCTGAAGCAGCACTGCCCTGCATCATACAAATAACAAAGAATTGATGTGAATTTTTTGTTGTTATAAAAGAACTTTTTACAAAACACTTATAAAATTCGTGATTACCGCTCATTGCATACATTATTTTTGTCATTAGAATGTAGTGTCCATTTCTCAGAGTATGAAACACAATTTTTGGTTCATTGAACATACATATTATAGTGTTTTTGTGTGTGTGATCATTGTATCCTGAGAGGGAAATGCTAAAGGACCCATAATCACTATAGTGGAGGTGAAATCTGTCTTAAAGACATAATATCAAACATTAGCCCTGATCAAATTCTTAAACCGTTCCATTATGTAATTTGATCAGTTTTATGTGTTACTGTTTTACAATTAATTGCATGATTTAAATCAAAAATATCAATAAGTATTTTACGAACATGGCACATCCTCCCAACAGAAAGAAGAAAAATGCTTCTCATTTATGTTAAAAGAAAACAACCAAAGTGTAGATGTCCTCATAAATGTTTAGAGTCCATTAATTTGTTGAAAAGGTTAGCAAGATTCAGTGTCTTGTCCCAAACAAGTTCAAACGCCAGAGTAAAAGTACATAAATAAGCCCTAACCCGCATTTTTCGATTTGGGAAGTCATTCATCACTTCAGCTAATGCAGGCAGCACGAGGTGACATCCGACTTGGAAGTGTTCACCCAAAGTCAAAGCCAACATCTCAATTGCACAAATAGATGCATCCTGCACGACAGGGTCGTCATCCTGAAATGAGATCAAAAGCTTCGATATTATTTGTTCGAAATTTGTTCTCATCACCTGTGTCCACAAAATGAAAAATCAAAAAATGTGTCTGAAAAATCTCCAAATCATAATGATGTTTGACAATCAATCGATCAGACGTGTCATGCACGGACTTTTTATTTCTTCTTTTTGTCGTCTTACCTCCAAATCCTCCTTAACTCTAATCAGGGACGGAACTGTGGCCCGCCTCAAATTCTAAAAATTATCATTGTTCCCCCTATATTTTTTTAAAAAATTATTGGTAACCTCTGGCTTTTCAAAACACCCAATGTTTAAGTATATCAATTAATATATTCAAAAAAATCAATGAATTTAGTAACCATTTATGATATAATCACATGAATGAGTGTCGTTTGCATTAACAAATACACTTATTGGATTATTTTGATGACCGTGAAGAAAAAATAGGTGATTTTTCTGCGACCACGTCGAGTTATTTTTCCGTATGACCTCCCTACAGTATCGTCACCGCAGTAGAGTTTAACCACCAAGTTAGGAATAGAGTCTCATCATTAATTGAGAAATCCCCTTTGGCTGATTCCCATGAACAAATAAGGCCAGAGAACAATAGAATTTATTTATAGACATAAAATTAGATCATAAATAAGAAAAAAAGAGGATGATAATATCGTCGCAAATGAATTTTTATGACCATCACTCATAGTTACCAGTACAACTATCATCACCCAAAACCCACCACCAACATTCACCCCCCACTCTAACCGATTCTTAAATTATTTTTTCTTTTCTCTATATTTATGATTTAATTTTGGACGTAAATATAAACATGTTTGTTGTTGACATTTTTTTATTACAATTTAAATAAAACTTACTGCATAAAAATAGTCATTTTTAGAGGGGACAATTCAGAGTCAGTGTTATGAACATGTAACGACCAACAAGCAACTGATCAGCCTAAATATTCCATTTTAAAGGAGTAGAAGACAATGAAATCATCCATTCAATATCTCTGGCGAATCCAAAATAATTCCATAGGGAAAAACATAGAATAGGGGGAAACATTAATTCTTATAAAACCGCAAATAGATCGCCACCATAACTGCTTTGTTGAGAAGTTCCTATAGCTACGAGAAGAAAAAAGAGAGATCAGATCGTGTAGAATTGTCCTAATATGAAGCTGCTCCACTCCATCCACTAAAAGATCCACTCTCAACGGTTGGCCTTTGCAACCCTCTCTATCTCATCTTTCTTCTTAATTGCGTAGCTGCATATAGGCAGAAAATATGCATGAACAAATTTTATCTTGAAGAAATTTGAAAGCATAAGGATAAAACAAAATCAAAAAACGGCATGGATTAAATAAGCAACAGGATGAGAAGTGCCAGGTAGAGATCAATGTAATGAAGTCTCGACCACCAGAAAAAGAGTACAAAAAACCCACTCCTTTACCTGTTGGAAGAACCCTTGGCAGCATTAATGAGCTCATCAGCAAGGCACTCAGCAATGGTCTTTATGTTCCTGAAAGCACTCTCACGGGCACCAGTTGTAAGGAGATATATTGCCTGGTTAACACGTCGAAGGGGAGAAATATCAACAGCCTGACGCCTCACAACACCAGCAGAACCGATTCGTGTTGCATCTTCCCTAGGTCCACTAGATCAAATAAGAAATGAAATTAGTTGCCACAGAGAACAAGAAAATGGTGCTCTAAGCACTACCATTCCCATGAAGTCAATAGATCACTCATGAATGTGTGTTTCAACTTCCAACAGAATAATAAACCATTTAAAAAACGGAACGATTGATTATCTGAATACCTGTTGATAACAGCATCAACGATGACTTGGATGGGATTCAGATCAGTCAACAAATGGATGATCTCCATAGCATGCTTAACAATGCGAACAGCCATCAACTTTTTGCCATTGTTCCGCCCATGCATCATAAGGGAATTGGTCAGCCTCTCCACAATGGGGCACTGGGACTTCCTAAACCGCTTGGCTTGGTACCTGCCAGCAGTGTGAGGCATATAGGTTGGATGGTTTGATGCTGTTGCAGTAATGTAATCCTGCACGGATATGTCACTGACCTGTACAAGACCACAAAGGTGGTTAGAATAATACTCAACTCTGCAAAATTTAAAGGAGGGATGAGCAATTTGATGTATAGTAACATGGGATCAAGTAGAACATCATAAAGACTGCTTGATCAAGTAAGTTAGTGGGGCTAAAGTATGGACAATAGATCAATCACACACAAATATGGATCTTTTTCAGGAAAATAAAGTTAAACATCATTACGAAGGATAAGAAATGGATCAACTAATGAAAACTCAAATAGAGAAATACAACTGCATGAACCCATTAATCCATGTTTTCGGACTGCTAAAAAACAATACTTAGGCAATATGGAAGCAAAGTAATTAAATCCCTTCAATTGCACACCCATGCATACTTCTCTTTACAAAAATCCCAATCTAGGCTTCATTGGTATGGTGCTCAAGTCGTAGTTCTTTCTGAAACCTTTATCTAGATTGCTTTAGCTAGTATATGAAATTATATATAATAGTAAATTCATAAACACAGTCAATTACTATTTTTTTGCTCGATTTCCTATTATCTAAAGTTATATATAACTATACATCCATGCACACGTAATTAATATTTATTTAACATCTTTGATACATGTTCCAAAGCGAATCAATCTAGAGTTTGCATTACAATTTGGGGTTTGGACATTAAAGTGATCTGGATCAAGAACCCAACTCATTGGGGTTGCCAAATCTAGAACGTGGGTCATTGTAATTGTATCAAACGTAACACTGACTACAACCAACTTGTCAGATTATTAGCTAGCCATGTCTGTCAGAGTATTAGATAATTAGTCCAACAATAGTAATTATGAAAAATCGAACAGGTTTCACACTAACAGTTATGGCGAATGTTTCCACATGACTTATTAATTAAAAAGCAAAGAAAAAAAGAAAGAACAGCAATTCAGATTAACAACGAATGAAAAATTGGTACATGTAGTGGTATAAACACAGGCGCTTACAAAAAAGAGACAATGCCGAAACATTTTATTAAAATTTTGAGGCAATGAAATTTAAAGTAGTGTCAAACCTGTGTAACCTAGCAAACAATAAATCTATAGCAACCAATTTTTATAACTCACAAATCAATAGATCTAGGCCATTTTGTTTGAAATCAATTTGTTTAGATTGCAAAATTCACACCGAAGTTGGTCATTCACACTATTATAATATAGTATACAATGACATAGTGAACTTGTAGCAGCCTTGGACCATGAGATCGAAGTGTAAATATATGTGTCTGGCTGTTATTTATCGCAATCAAGCACTTGAACTAAGAAATTCACCCTTTAACGATTTACCAAACATGTTGTAACCAAAACAAGAGCACAAGCAGAAAAAATGCAACACAAACCCACATTAGAAAAATGATCTGAAGAAAACATCCCAAGTGCAACCTCTCTGAGCATTAAAGCATAAACTTCACATTACGGTCATATCACACAGTTGTGGTACACCAAGCGCTACAGCAGATATCACTGAGCTAAAACAGTGACAACACAAATCAATGTAAAATAAGAGATACTGCAAATAAGTTCAAAACACTTGCAAACTATAGGTAGTAAATGACTTCTTCAAATTCTTTAAATAGATTATTAGTTGATCATAAAAATTCCATGATACTTCACACAACAGCACACACTAATATTTCATTGATTCCCATGTAATGTCAATTTATGTTAAACATATTACACGCAGAAAATAAAATATCCAGAAAGTTAGGAGCCTAACAACACCATCAGATCTCCACACGATGCAGATATAGTGCATAACAAAGATAAACGCAATCTGCTTATAGTTAGTAAAAGATTGATTAGCCAACAAATATACCTCCATTTGGTAGGGCTTTCATCCACATTCGTACTTTATTTTCAATGATTCATTTATTTCTTAATTTTTTTTATTCGACATGTTTTTATTCGCTCCCTTTTCTAATCACTCCTTCATAAATAGCACATGAAAATTACACACATTTTCAAAGATTCTCTAAATTATTTCGTCTCAACAAATCAGATAACTAAATTGCTTAGTCTTTATATATACAATGCATATAAGCTCAAAGAAAATGAAAGAAAGCAAATTACCACCAGATATAAATATAATAGATCTGAAGAAAATATAAACCCAAGGAGAAAAATAGCATGAAATGCAGAAAATAGAACTGTGAATTAACTAAGTTGTAAAGAGCGATCAGACGAAAAGAAAGCTAGAGAAAGAGAGAATGAACTTGAACGTCGTCATAGGACCACCGGTTGAAAAGCATCACAGCGCTATGAATCTTGTCGTCATTCTGGATGGTAGAAGTAATAACAGCAGAATCCATTGCTTCTTCAACTCTTCGATACACACCTGCAAAATCGATAAATACATACACCAATGTTATACAAACACACATATAAACGTATATGCTCAATATACATAGAGAGAGAGAGAGAGAGAGAGAGAGAGAGAGAGAGAGAGAGAGAGAGAGAGAGAGAGAGAGAGAGAGAGAGAGAGAGAGAGACCTTCACCTGGACAGAGGGAGTGCGGAGGCAGCCGTGTCGAAGCCCCAAAGGAAGAAGATGGAAGAGATGAACTAAACCCTAGTAGGGGCAATAAAAAGAGCGAGCTTTTGGACTTTTAGTTGTCATAAATGACCTTTTCTTTTATCACAAATTACATATGCCCCTCTTTTTCGAGTGGTCTTGGACTTGGATTGATCTTTTGAGCCATATTGGGCCGCAAGAGCCCATGGTCCAACTAACGCCTTCAGTCATTGTTTACTTTTTTTTTTTTTTAAACCCCTTTTTATCCTCCCTAAATTACAACAATAAATAATAATTGATTGAAAATTTCAGATTTTTGCTTTCTTAGATAGGAAATTTAAGTTTGTCAACAAAACTTCGCCGTTGTCAAATAGTGTTTGGATTAAAAAGAAAACGGGAGGATCCTCACAATTCAAAGAGAACTGAAAGATCCTCTAATTCTTAAGAAATTAGAGGAGAATCGAACCCGTATAACTATCCAGAATTATTAAAAAAATAGATATAAACCAAATAATTCTAGTATTCTATTGCTTAATACTCTCTTAAGCTACATGCCTAATGTACTCCATTTCTGATACCCATACGTATCATTCTCATTCTCCCTAACACCAAGTCATGCAACTTATCACGTTGACATTGGTTTCCTGGGACCTCGACGAGCTTGGATTTAGCAAAACAGAATTGATTGAGTGATAGAGTTGAGGAAATGTCAAATATTTTCATATATCTGTCAAAATAAACGTCCAATAACAAATGTGATTTTAATCCTCTCAAAAATTCATCCCACTGCTGTGGCCAAATCAGTGATTTTATATTTTTTTTTTGTAACCAACTGAAAGCCTAAACTCAGTTGTGCCCAAAAATTCTTAGAACAAACATGTAAATAGATCTCAATAGTTACGAGATGACCATTCCGAAAATATTAGGTGTTGGATAAGAGCAATTGGTTTTCTTCTCTTCTTGCAATCGTTCACACATTTTCCCTTAAAGCTAAAGAGACTTATTTATTTAACCTTTTTTGTGCTTTCCTCTCACCAGAAAAGGAGATGAGAGATAGCCAAATAGAGTCAAATGTCAGGCCGTCGATCTGGTAAGGATTATATTCTGGTTCAACTAGGTCTTCTTTAAGGTACCGTTTAATAAACAAGTGGATCCGACATGATTAATAAACAAATTAATTATGAATAAACTCAATTAAAAAGAAATACAAAACACAACTCATTTATATATCAATTATATATAATTCATATACGATACAAACACAATTCGTCAAACACAAATTAAAAAACAAATCGAGTATAAATATTACGCTAAGATTCAATATAAACCCGCCCCCACCCAACACAATTGACAGCACATACTTCTAACCATCAAACGAGTTTCACAAGTCTTGCTCGCCCATTTGAACTTGGGGCAATCAATTTAGTTAAGAAGGTGAAGTAAGCCCAAAGAATAGACTTCTGGTTAAACATCATCTCAGATCTTCAATTCAATTGCTTCAACATTTGAAACATGGATTTGACTACAACGGGTAAAAAAAAAAAAAACAAATCCCATACGTTTACCACAATTGTGGTACCCAAAAATATGGTAAAAAGAATTACTACAAATACGGTAAAAATGTTCATAAATGTGATAAATCACTCACAAAAATAAAAATGACATTTTTTATACCCAAGAAAAAAGTCAAAATAATTACCCACAAATGTGATAAAAACACCTACAACAACAATAAATCAATCACAAAAATGGCAAATTTTTTGATTGTAAAAATAACCCTCAAAAATTGTAAAACGCCTTTAAAATAATAAATTTTAAAAATATGATACCAAAATTTTTTTAACGGTACCATAGTCAAATCCCAAAAACATATGACAAATAACTAAACAAGTACAGTTCCTTACACTAGCCACCTTCTAACGGAAGTCGGCTACCGAACTATGTGATGTCAGAACAGTTAAGTATTAACTAACTACACAGAACATTGCAACAAAACTGCCTAGGAACCAAACCCATCTAAAAAATGATATACATTTGAGTTGTAATTTTTTATATTTCATCTAGGTTTTGTAGTATTTTCCTTAAAATTGTATTCTCAGGAAGCTGCAAATTAATCAAACCGTATTAATGCTGATTCCGAGACATACAGGACTCAGATGCGTTCACCTTAATTGAAAACTCAAAAGAATCTCATACATGCTCATACTCAAACCAGTCATGTATGAAAACCCAAAAACAAAACAAAATGGGATAAGGGTTTGAAATGGAACAGTCTGACACAATAGCTAGCAATTAAACACCTTGAGGAGGCATTAAAACTCAAAAGAGCAATCACCGCAACCTTCTTGCCTCCCTCTCTGACTCAAGCAGAGTGAGAACGTCACCCTCCCTGACTGGTCCCTTCACATTTCTCATGATAAACCGGTTCTGGTCATCAATGAACTTAACTCTCACCTGAGTCACCTGCCCTCTGGATCCTGTCCGACCCATAACTTTCACCACAATAGCGTGCTTGATCTGAGATTCCATTCTGCACGAAATAAAAGAAGGTTAAAAAGGAAAATTCCATAAGTTAACCACAACCCTCATGAGATGTGAACAGTTAGTAAGGAGGTGAGACATCCCATCACAAAACTCCCAAATGCATATACCCATGATCAAATATATATGCTGTACATAAAAAGAGTGATGAATACACAAAAGGCTGAGCCCCTTCTACCCAAAATTAGGGGCAGCAGACTCAACAACCACATGTTATTATAAAGAACAAACCGAAAAAACACCACAGAAATTCCTAAAAGAAACTCACAGTAGGGGTAACATCTATCCATGGAATATGCCACTCCAACTGTAGCATATCATGACAAAACTTTATAAAAAAAAGATAATGAAAAAAGCATCAGTAGTCTAAATTATGCAACATCAATCCTGTCAGTTAATCTTTTGGCATCTAAACCACAGGTGATTCTAAACAGGTTATATCTATGGTACCAAAAAATTACTCTTCGGTATCATCTCTCCTTTTTTCAACCAACTAAATACATGAAATTTATAAAGCTTTTTTATTTACTGTTTCATTCTACTTTTTCAGTCTTCAGAATTGATCACCATAAATGAATCGATGATGTATGGCCACAAATATTTTTTGATCCAGTATTGAATTCGTTTTTTCGATACTAAAGTCTTATCCTTCTAATCAACCCAAAAAAAATATGTGATGCACATTAGAACTTAGAAGAGTATTGAATACACAAAAAGCTGAGCCCAGACAGCAGACTCAGAAATCTCATATTAGTCATAACCCAACTAACCCAAAAAACACCACAGAAAATCCTCGAAGAAACTCACAGTAGCCATAACATCTATCCATGAAATTTGCCACTGCACATTGAAGCATATCGCGATAACTCTTTATGAAAGCATCGGCAGTCTAAATTATGCACCATAAATCCAGGCAGTTTTAAGTCTAACCCACAAAGGATTCTAATGAGGTTCCAACTATGGTCCCAGAAAATTACTCTTCAGTACCCTCTCCAACAAATAAAAAATGACATGCAGAAAGCGTTTTTATCTAACTGTTTCACTTTACAGTGTCGTTTTTAGGATCAACGACTATGAATGAATCAACAATGTATAGCCACATTTTTTCAGTATAGTATTGAAAAGTTTTTTATTCAGAACCATAGTCTTATCCTTCTAATCAACCCAAACATAGACAGAATAGAAATTCATTACAGATTTTTAGATTACTTTGTTTCTTCTTCTCAAGCTTGCCCAAAAACGAAACACGGTCAAAGGAACTATAAAAGCCCGCAAAATTCATATACAGATCTACAATCACAGCATTAGAATAGATGTAATGACTAGAAACTATAGTCTAACGAAATACAATCTCAAAGAAAAATAATAAACAAAATACACAAATTTAAAGATACAGAGGTCAAAGGAATTGGTTTAATTAACCTGCTCGAGCGTGAGCAGAGACTTCTACTAAGAGAGAGAAGAACAGTAGCGGCCCGAAGAACCACAGATCTCGTGCAAACAACGTTTGGGGAAGTTTAGTGTAGACCCTAATGCGGATATTTATATTGCCAACGTTGTTACGACATGACGATTGTGCCCCTTGTGGGTTGCGGTAACGTTGTGGGCTTCGTGGTTTATGGGCCATTTTATCCAATTTGGACTAGGACTTATTGCTAAGGTCCGCTGCGGCCCTGTTCATTTTTTTAAATGGGCCTTACTACCATATTAAAACAAGACACGTATAATTTTTTATATTTATTTTACTTTACTATTTTAATAATTAATGATTATAAATAAACTAGAAATAACTCCATGCTTGAAAACACACTCTGTGATGCCAAAAATCGAACATTAACGTATAAAATTTATGTGCTAAATAATAATTTATTTTTTTAATTACATAATTTTAAATTAATGTGACAAGAAAAATAATTTTGGGGTCATACAGAAAATATGATATTTTTTAATAAGAAAAATAATTTTGGGATAAATATATAATATAAAATATGACAGGTTTTAATTAACTTATCCGACAATCTCAAATAGACTCATTTAACGGTCACTAACATCCCTCTCAAAATAAGATTTTTTCTCTCCCAAATTCATTACTTCTCACTTACGTTATACCGTGCCTTCAAGTACGAATTATTCTTAATTTTATATAATTAGATAAAAATTAAATTAATTTTAATTATTATTTTGTTTTTATGAGTTTTTTTTTTTTTTTTTGACATCAACCATGCAAAAAATCATTACGTCAAAAAGTGTTGGATACAATCGTTAGACAAAAAGGTCTTTAGTTCGGGAGGAGGACAGCCCACCCAATTCAAATGAATTGAGTTGGATAATTTCTTAGCTGCAACCCAACCCAATGAGCTGCTCTATTTAAAGTGCTAGACTTGTGTAAGAATCTTAAATTAAGAACATTAGCAAAGTGTCTGATATCACAAACAAAGGCAGAAATTTCCCACGATGGAACGTCTTCAGACCACAGTCGCCTCACGTAAACAAGCTGTTGAAGCCACCAGGCATGCTTTTCTGACTGCAGCGGCTTCAAAAAAAAAAACTAATGACAGCTAGAATTTTTTTAGCAAGGCCATCAATGATCCTTGCATCAGGCCCATGGAGTATCACCCCAATAGCAGCAGCACCCTTTTTGAAAGCACCATCACACCTCAGACAAAAATCTGGACGGCTGCCAGAAGGATGGTCAAGCCGAGTAGAAAAGACCACCTGAAGATCCTCATGCCAAGCTTTCTCCGTAGCCCAAGCTTCACTCCACTGTTGTTGAGCCCACAACAGAGTAGACAATGCGTTTGGCTCCTGATGATTAAATACAAAATTATTTCTAGCATTCCAAATGGCCCATGCAAACGTAGCCATTTTCCCTATGATCTCAAGCGAACTGAGAATGCACTTAATGTCAGCCAAGAACGACGAAGCCCATTGACAAACATACACATTTGCCTCCAGAACTAGTTTCAAACCTAACTCAGACCCGAACCATACTTTCTTTGCCCAATCACATTCAAAAGAAGATGTTCCACAGTTTAAATCTTCTCACCACATAATTGGCACCAAGGGAAAGCAACACATTTTCTTTTAAACAAATTATCGCGTTTGACCGAAGCATTGTTACAAACTTTCTACCAAAAATGCTTGATCTTTGGGAAAGTCAACATGTGGCAGATAACAAACCACAACTTTGGATGAGGACAAAACGAGGTACTAGAAAAATTAGAAGAAGAAGGGACAAGAGAAATGGCAAGGGAGCAACCTGATCGAACTGAATAAACTCCTCTAGGATGCAGTCTCCAAAACCTCCTGTCAGCGGCTGGAGATTGTGGTAATGGGATGGCTAAAATGGCCTCGCTCTCTTGCGCATTAAAATATCTCGAATAAGCCCATCATTTCACAACTTAGACTTCAGAGAGAATAACCGATTGACCCAGACAACATTACCGTTGTGGGGTCTAGTCGACCGAACAACTCCGTCATCAAGCTTAGGAATCCATTTGTCTTCCCAGATATTAACTTGGGACCATCCGAGACTTGCCAAAAAATCCCACTATTGCGAAGATCCCTTCCTTTAAGTAAACTGCACCAAATCCAAGATGGTTTCGCTCCTTTTCTTGGCCTTCATGAAGTCTCCTCCAGGGAAATAAATAGACTTTAGGAACCTAGCCCAAAAAGAGTCGGGTTTCTGAAGCAACCTCCAGCATTGCTCGGCAAGTAAAGCCTGATTGAATTGTCCCAACTCTTCGAGCAAATGCCACTCTTATCACCACCACCTCCCCACTAAAATTTCCTCACACATTTGTTAATCTTTTCACAAAAATTCTTGGGGAAAGAGAAGATTGACATAGCATACATTGGGATCGCTTGGATAACAGCCTTAACCAAAACTTTTTTGCCAGCTTGTGTAAGAAAAAGGATTTTCCACCCTTGAAGTTTCTTCAAAATCCTCTCGAGGTGATAACCAAATAAATCACTCTTAGCTTTCCCATGCAAAATAGGCAAGCCCAAGTATTTGATCTCTCCATCCAAGGGACATAACCCCATCATCCGGCAAAAATAAAGCCTCTGATCATCCGTCACATTTGCCGAAAAAATAATACCAGATTTCTGAAGGTTCAAGCACTGTCCAGAGGCCAAACAAAACTTGTTAAGAATAGTCATGGCATATGGGATTTCTTGTGCCTTGGCTTTAAAGAAGAAAAAGGAATCGTTCGTAAAAAACAAATGAGAGATAGCTGGGCTTCATCTCCGAACTTTCAGTCCCGAAATTTTTCGTTCCTCCACCCCTTTCTGTAACATCAAAGACAGGACGTCAGCAACCAAAATAAACAAATAAGGGGAAGAGGGTCACCTTGCCTAATGCCTCTCTATGGGAAGACTTCACATCTTCTTTCACCATTAATAATCATATGGAAACTAACTGTGCTAACACATTGAATGATAAGATGCACTCATCGTTGATCGAATCCCATCTTAAGCAGCACTGCCTCCAGAAAATTCCATTCAATTTTGTCGTAAGCTTTGCTGATATTCAATTTAACTGCCACATCAGGAACCTTACCTTTCTTCTTCAATCTCATAAAATGGAGAACCTCATTTGCAATAATGATGTTGTCTTGAATCTGCCTATGCGGTACAAAAGCAGCTTGTTGGGGAAAGATAATGGTGGACATGAAGCCTTTCATTCTGTTTGCAAGGACCTTCGAAATAATCTTGTAAAGGAAGTTACAAAGCGCAATAGATCTAAACTAGGAAATACTTTCCGGTGAGGCTTCCTTAGGAATGAGAACAATATTTGTTTTGTTCAAATCCCTGAGCATAAAACCCCTGTAAAAAAAATGCTTGACAACCCTGCCCACCTCATTCCCAACAATAACCATCAAGCCCTGGGGTCTTAAGAGCACCCAGTTGCATAACCGCGGTCTTAATCTCTTCATTCAGGATCGGCTTAAGCAGCTGTTGGTTCATATCGTCAGTAACCTTTCTCTCCACAAAACCCAACACCTCCTCAAAATCTCTTTGCCTCGTTGTGGAAAAAAGCTTCTGAAAATACCTTTTGATGTGATCATTCAGCACCTCGTCATCATCAATCCACTCATTATCATCTGTCTTTAATCTCAAAATCAAGTTCCGCTGTCTTTGCTGAATCGTAGAGAAATGGAAGAACCTTGTATTTTGATCACCTGACTGCAGCCAATTTATTCTTGATCTTTGCTTCCAGAAAAGCTCCTCCCATCTCCTAATTCCATCTATGTCAGAAATGATCTCCATCTCCTTTTTCAGATTGGCCTATGAAGCCTCTGACATTTGCACTCTAGACAATTGATCCTTTAACTCTACCAAAGATCTCCTTTCATCACTAAATTTCAATCTGCTCCACGCCTTAAGCTCCTTCCCACACCTATCCATCTTCTTGGACAAACCAAACATCGCTGAACCTTGCCCAGCAACATTCCAATGTTTTCTAATATTATCCTCGCACATATCGTCATCCATCCAGCAAGCTTCAAATTTAAAAGAGAAATGCTTCTTCTTTGACAATGGCTCCAAGATGATAATGATAGGGCAATGGTCTGATCCCACCCTAGCTTCATGAATAACCTGCATAAAGGGATGGCACATACTCCATTCAAGGTTGATTAAGACTCAGTCCAATCTTTCTTGAACATTTGCAATCCCCCGCCTATTATTTGACCATGTTAATTTTGGTCCGTTAAAGTCCATATCAATAAGATTACACGCAGAAAATAAGGCATTACAATTCTTCTATCCTATGAACCCTGCTAGCTCCCCCCCATTCCTTCTCCATCAAAGACCCAATCACATTAAAATCCCCAGCAACCTGCGTAATGTCATCCTTTATTGATAACCAATAACTATCGGATCATAAATCTTAAATTCTAAACCTGAAACATGTGTAATTATTAATAAATCACACATACTTAAAATTCCAAGATAAATAATGTTATATATCGTAACTCTCATGATCGGACAACTATCCGACGTTGAAAATTTAATTTTATAATATAATTTTTTTGAATAAAATTATGTTTCTCAAATTTGAAAAAAAATTCATTCACACCTTTTTTTTAATTTATATATTTCCAAGAACGTCCCTTTTATTTTTGGAATTTTCATTGACCTCTTTTCTAATTTGTATTTCAACTATATTCACATTATTCACAATGATTAACGTGCAAAAGTGTGGAGGTAATGAAAGCTTTTCTAAAAAATACCAAAATTACCTTGTCATTTTATTCTCCCTCCTATTCACCCACTTCCCATCCCATCAGTGCAAACCAAACCAACCACTAATACTCCATCTGATAAAAAAGATAGAAAGTAGGAATGCTGAAAAATATTAGTCATACGTTTTTTATTCATCAAGGAAGAAAAATAGGACACATACACTTTCTTTCCTTTGTGTTTGATTGGATGGATGGATAGAATATAAAAATGACTATTTTTTTTTGTGCTGGTTAAGATTAGGAGTGACAATCAAATCGTATCGTCTCAGATTCGTGTTGAGTCATTACGGGTTTGTGTCGAACATTAGTCAAACCTAAATCAACTCATTTAACTAATTGTATCGTGTCTAGTTACGAGTTGACCTGTTTATTTTCGTATCGTATTCGTATTCGTGTTCATTTTCGTACTCGTGTTGACTAACATAAATTTTGAATAAAAAATTTAACGCTAATATTTTATTTTCACTTAATTGAATCCATGTTGATATTTTTTTCTACAAACTAAAAATTAACTTAAATAAATATAATAATAATAAGTAAAAATATCTTTGTTATATAATAATTATATCAATGTTTAATAAATAGTTACAAATAATTAACATTTTATGTCTATAATATTAGTTAAACATGTTAATTTTGTGTTACTATACAAACGAGAAAATATATAAAGTGTTTATTTTTAAATAAACTAGTTGGTGTTGTCAATTTTGAGCTTGACTGGTTGAACTGAATATGAGTCTTTTATATTTCTTGTTCGCGTGTTAGGTTATTTTCAAGTTCGTATTGAGTTTAATTAAGTTCGTGTCATAAAATTCATATCGAGTTTGAGTCATATTATCGTGTTGAGTCGAAAATTCATCCCTAGTTGAGGTGATTTTTTTTAAAAAAATTTTAATGTTTTTAATTTTTTTTTTAAAATTATATATATATATATATATATATATATATATAATACATATTTTATCATTGTATTTTTATATAAAATTAATATATACATATCAAAAAATATATAGACAAATAAGATATGTATCAACACAAATAATTAATTTTTCAATACTTTCTTTCTGATTTTGAAGGGATTAATTTTGATGAGGTAGAAGAAAAGTTAATTCATTTACTTTTTCATCATTTCTATTTTCCTTCCTTATTAAATATAATATTTTATTTATCTCTCAAATTTTTCATCCTTCTATTTTTTTATCATACTAAACGGAGTATTTAGGTAAAATGCTTTGCCACTACAAATTTCGAATATTTGCAAGAGATGATCACAAACTCACAATATCAAGTTTAAACACCCAAATGTGCACAAAATAGAATGTGTTGTCACCCATCCAAATTGAGATCCTATGTGAAACTTTGAATGAGGTCTTATCAATTATTATTATGATAATATACAAAAATATTTATATAAATTTATTTAAATTTTTATTAGTTGAGATTGTAAATTAATGTCTAAAGTTTTGTACTCAAATTTCTTTTTTATATATCATTTTAATTGAATTTATAATGAGCTTCAAGTCCAATATCACACACTCAAGTAATTTTTATGTTATC